AACTCGGCAGTGCGTCGCGTGCTCTCGCGATGCGTGTTTTGTCGGAGACTGCATAGTCGGCCTCTTGTTCAGAAGATGGCAGATCTCCCACCAGATCGCGTCACTCCAGATCTGACGCCATTTGCGGTTACTGGAATCGACCTTTTCGGTCCCTTCCTTGTGAAAAGAGGAAGGGCCACAGAAAAACGGTATGGCGTAATATTTGTTTGTCAAAAAATCCGCGCCGTCCATTTGGAAGTCGTGCATTCCCTCACCACTCATTCATTCATAAACGCGCTGCGTCGCTTTATGGCAAGACGAGGAGCGGTTAAGGTAATCAGATGTGACAACGGCACAAATTTCGTGGGAGCTCGACGAGAGCTCAGCGAGGAAATTCGTAACTGGAATCAGCAGCAAATTGAAAATGAACTTCTACAAAAGGAAGTACAGTGGCTATTCAACGCTCCAGGTGCCTCTCATCACGGAGGAACATGGGAACGTTTGATTCGCGAAACTAGAAAATTGTTGAATTTCCTACTGCACCAGAAAGTCCTAGATGATGAAAGTTTATACACCTTTATGTGTGAAGTGGAAAGCATTTTAAATGGACGCCCAATCACACCTGTGTCAGATGATCCCAGGGACCTCGAAGCACTAACCCCTAACCACCTTCTTATCTACCGCTCAGCACAGCCATTAGCACCCGGCATATTCTCAGAAGCAGATACGTACTCGCGTAAACGATGGAAGCTCGTTCAGCATCTTGCGACACAGTTCTGGTACCGTTGTAAAAAGGAATATATCAGAACTCTTCAATCAAGACAAAAGTGGAACCAGCCTGAGAGAAACCTACGTGAGAATGACCTTGTTCTTCTGGTGGACTCAGACTCTCCACGAAATGTTTGGAAGATAGGGAGGATAGCAAATGTGTATCCTGACACCAAGGGTCACGTTCGTGTGGCTGAAGTGAAGACAAGCGCAGGAATTCTCAAAAGACCAATCAGCAAGCTCGTTCTCATGCTACCTGAATGAGATCCCAGCACGTGCCGAAACGGGGGAGGGGTGAAGAGGCGGTACCTTAGGTGTTTCAGCACGAACACATTTAAATTTGAACGATCTAGGTCGCGTGAACTCGATGCATATTTTCAGTTCGGTTTTTGTTTTATATATAGAAATGACACTGTTTTTAGACAGGCATTAATTTATAAATTTACGTGTTTATTTTGCCGAACAGCAGTAAAAGAGCGTTGCATTATGTTTCATACTTTAGTTCATGCTTGATTGGACTGAACTCTCATAATGCTAAATATAAATTGGTGTTTTGTAAAAAACGAATTTGATCAGTGACATTCCGGACTCTACATTCCACTTGTAGGTAAACAAAGAAAGGATTTTCATGAAAATAAACATTTAATTGCATTATTTGGTAACTCATGCAACTGAAAAGTGGCCAAGATGAATGCATGACGACACATTTGAATATAAATAATGTTTTTTATCAGATGGAAGCAACTCATGGCCAATTGGGGGGTGGCCACTTTGCCCCGGCCACTTTGCCCCGCGCATACCGTCCGAGACAAAAATATTCCAGCTTAGCTATTAGTGGGGTAAAAAACATTAAAATTGGTAGAATACATGTACGATAACCATGCAATGCATGGACAAGAACGCTTATAAAAATTCCAAACGGTTATGGAATAACATAACATTTAAAAATTGTAAACATAGTTGGTAACCTGGCAAGAAATGCTTTTCCGTGTTTCACAGAACAATGGTGATGGGCCTGAAACCCCGGTCTGGCTCATTCGAACGACCGTGAAGAGAAGTATAATTAGAAACCATAAATTGGAACTGACGCCAGCTAAGAAGGGCTAAAACGATGGGTGGCCGCTTTGCCCCGGGTGGCCGCTTTGCCCCACTCTCCCCTATACGAAAGGTAGGGAGACGTTGGCTCAATCTACACAGTCCATTCGGTACTAACTCCATCTCGACGGAAGTGGCGCAAGACGTGGGTATATTCGTAAATATTGAATGTGTTTGGGGCTCAGGCACATGGGAACGTTTGTGGTCAACGCCTGCAGTCAACAAAAACGGTAAAACAAAACAATCAAAACTCGGGCATTTTGCAAAATGCCTGACACGCCAGGCATTTTGTAAACTGCCTAGGCAATTTGCAAAATGCCTGGTGGGTCAGGCAGTTTGCAAACTGCCTAGGCATTTTGCAAAATGCCTGGCCGGTCAGGCATTTTGCGAATTGCCTGGGCATTTTGCAAAATGCCCGAGTTTTCACTTTGCCTGTAACATATACATATATATATATATGTTACAGGCAAAGTGAAAACTCGGGCATTTTGCAAAATGCCTAGGCAATTTGCAAAATGCCTGACCCGCCAGGCATTTTGCAAAATACCCAGGCAGTTTGCAAACTGCCTGACCCACCAGGCATTTTGCAAACTGCCTAGGCATTTTACAAAATGCCTGACCCGCCAGGCATTTTGCAAAATGCCTGGGTTTCCATATATTCCACCGTTTTTGTTGACTACAGGCGTTGATCATAAACGCTCCGCTGCGACTGACCCCACAACACATTTCACATGTGTCTGTGACACATGTGACACATTCCACGGGCACGGGCACGAATACAGGGTGTCACGAAATTGTTGCGGGATGTTGTACTTGTGTCCCGAAATGTATTGCATCGTAGGTGCGTCAGTGTTCTCCAGCACCTCGCTGACAAGTTATCAGCGGCCACATGGTCTGTCCCCGCGGCACCTGGTGAAGCTCAAATAGGCCTCTGTAGCCCACCATGCCCCAAACGAGAATCCCCTGTGCCCAGTGGGTGCTTTACCGTCTCGACGTTGCAGCGCCCCTGAGCTGCTGTTGGCCCAGAACTGCTTGTCGAGACGGTTAGTGACTAAGAAGAGCTCTAATAGCCGTTTCCACGACGGGCTATCCGGCGAGTGCACCTAATTTGACCAAATCTGCACCTTATCACTTTTACAGCAAATATCTTTATTTTATGAATTTATTTCAGTGTTTTAACCGATGATGCTCTCTGATAATATGACAAAGGAGGCATATAAGCAATTAGTACAACCCTAGCTGATAGCTAATAAGAGACAAACTGAACATAATTTGACCAAATATGCACCTAATCTGCACCAGATGTGAACCAAATGTGTACCAGATGGCCGTCGTGAAAACGGCTAATATCGCCTCACGGCCTCATCATTGAAAAGTCTGAATCTCTAGTCCTGAATGGTCCAGATTTGGTGCGTTTTTTTTCGAAATCCAGCTGCATCACTTATGGATGACGGTAAGTCAGGGTTGCAGCCTGAGGTTGAGCGGCTTCAGCTTCAGGGTAAAATCTTCAGATACCGGGGGATGGCCGATTTACATGCCGAGTGCCCTGGTCGAGATGCCCTGTTGCCGCGACCCGTTCAAATTACATCCATTCAGCACTCAGGAGAGGCATGGAGGGACAAGACCGCGCCAACCGCGTATCAAGTTCGTGACACTCTGTATACCTACGTCTTGCGTCAATTCTGTCGAGATGGAGCCAACGCTGAATGGACTTGAGCCACCGTCTCCGTACCTTTCGTATATACGGAGTTGTAGCCGTGTGTGTAAAAGCTGCGATGTCCAGTATTCTGCCCTGGTGGGCAACTGTTCCGGCAGAGACGATTGATAATGTACAGGGTGACACAAAAAAACGGTCATCACCAAAATTCGAATAACTTCGGAAGTTTTATTCAGATCATCACCAAACTTCGGCCACTTTAGTTCACACCTATGTAGCAGACATCCACCAAGTTTCAAGTCTTCACTACGAATACTTTTAGTACAGTGTGTGTTTTACGGACGCTCCACAATGTGCTCCAGGTGAGCGCCCCGGCGCTGCAGGGCGTAGGCACACCTGCATCCGGCGGGCAAAGTTGTCGATAACCCGATAAGAATAACGTTTCAGGGGTAGCACACCCCCTGAGCACTGTCTCCAGAGGCCATTGCACTCTGTAAAGTGCACAGCCATCGGGTTATCGACCCCCGGTCCCCCAGTGATCGCGTGAGGGGACCGGGGGAGGGGCGCGTGACGACGTACGATAGGACGATAGGGTGTAAAAGTGTAAATGTTATTTACGGAATATGGTGTAATGTATGTGAGTGCGTGTGCTACGTGGGAGAGACAGGTGGAAATCTGTACGGCCGTATACAGAACCACCTATCATCCGTACGGGTGAGCAGCCCGACCGTGGCGCTTCCGGTGAGGCACCACTTCTGCACTCCGGACCACAGTGTGGACGATTTACGCGTGGTGGGACTGGAAAGAGTGTGGATGCAGAACGTGGACTACAGGCGTGTAAGAGAGAAGAGATGGATGCATCTTCTAGGCACGTATGATGGAACGGCCGGTCTTAACAAAAGATTCGGCTAGATGGGGTGCACATGCCCCCCCCCCCCCGAAACGCGGACTCGTAACTGTGGCCCATATCAGTGTATCGATGTACGAGTATACTGTGCAGTCACCTGGGTGGTAGGCTGTGCCGCACGGCTCCAATGCCAGTATGCCTGTGTGGTAGGCTGCACCGCACAACTCGAGTGCATATGCCTAAATCTTAAGTGTGTTGCTGTATGTAAAAATGTTAGTTTAGTTATTTTCAGTGCTTCGGCTAGAGATTTTATTTAGGTAGGAAGTGGAGTGGAATTATTAGCACTACTTTTTTATCTTCTGGTGATTTTTATGTTTATATGTCGTATTATTCGGCGCAGCGGAGAGGCCTGTATTTTCTGATGAAGCCATGAATACACATGGTGAAACGTAAAGTTGCTTTAGTTTCTAAATATATATATATATATATATTTTTTTTTTTTTCTTTTAGACAAAGACCATTAAACGTAATAGCACTTTCACATTTCGAAGCTAAGAGATATATATATATATATATATATATATATATATATATATATATATATATATATATATATTGTAGCCGCCGACCAGACTCAGTTCGAAACTCGGATGTCGTCACGGATCGGTGTATTGGACCGTGTGGCCCTCCGCACGCAATCGTTGCTGTAAAACAACGGCCCTAAGTTAAGCATTGCACAAATAAACATAAACGAGCGCAAACAAACGTGACGGAAATAAAAGGGACAGGCGAGGGGGAACATAACACACGCATAAATAAATAACTAGATAAAGGCAACCAGGTACATTGTTACGCGTCCATTCATGCACTTGAATATGCATATACGAAACAGTATAATTATATCGAAAGCACTTGATTACATGATTGTGCGACCGCGACATTTAGTTACGTACCGACAAATGTGCTCCCTGAGTCGCTTATCGGCTAACGAAACCAGAGGCACACGTCTCCAGAGGCACATCAGACGACCAGCCTCACGGTCTTGGTAAATGGCTATAAATCCGAGACGAGTGTCAACCTTAACCTTATTTATCCACATATAAATGACCGGTAATAAATATCTGCAGGCAATTCATATAACATTCAATATTGGTTTCATACACAGCAAATATTCGCCCTAATTACGGTTACATATTCCATAAATATTACGAGTTAAGTCATTTTTCCTGTGCGACTCACCGGCTCTGGCGCAGACACCACCACATACCACCAGCCTCAACGGGGCTCAACTGACCCGCGCCGCGCCCCCGACCAGCGCCGGGGCGCCGGGCACCGCCCATATTCAGAAATGTTCATCCGCGTCAGCTATCATATTCGCAACTTAAATGTCCAGGAGATCCCTACTCGCATCAAACAATACATTTTACAATCCTGAGCACATTATTGGGCATAACATACACATTAACGAGTCAAATATCACAGTTTCCAGTTACTACTTTTCTGACCCTGCGGTCGCGACGGCGCAGCTACATTCCTGGGCCCTGCCCCAGGCTACGGTCGGCCGGTGACCTCGACAGGTCAGAGGGACCGAGCGAGCAATGTGCCATGGCTGCGAAACCAAGGAAGAAAATAGGAAATCAGCAGGATGGTAAACGTGGACTAAGGAACATAAAATGACAAAATGGAAATGGCGCGCCTACACCCCCACCCTTGAACCTTCCAGGTTCAACAGACCAAACGTGCTAAGCGCAATTGGAGCCTTCATCACCAACCGCTTGCAGTCAATCCCCAGTTCAGTCTTCTGGAAATACAGCTATCAATCAACACAAACTAATCTTCTGGAATTGATATCAAATCACGTCATCACGTGCGATAGTCGGCCATGCTCGTGGTCTCACACGCTCTCAGTGTCGGTGGTCTCGCTCTCCAGCACCAGCACCAGCTTGGAGATCGGTCTCTTCAGGGTAGATGTAGTGGTACGGACTATCACAGAGCGCACAAACCCTTTCTATCTGGGAAAACCTCGGTGACTCGTCCCAAAGGCCAGTGACAGCGTGGAGAGTTCATATCGGCAACCAGTACCACATCATCAACTTGCAAATTCCTCTGAACCTTGTTCCACTTCTGACGAATTTGAAGCAGCGGCAGATATTCTTTTACCCAGCGCTTCCAAAAAACATCAGCTAAGAACTGGACTTGTTTCCACCGTTTTCCCGCAAAGCAGTCTCGTTCACAGAACACGCCGTCTGGAATCGGTCCTCCCCGCAACAACAGCAAATCGTTTGGCGTGAGCGGCTGAAGATCGGACGGATCGCTGGAGACAGTCGTCAGCGGCTTGCTGTTGAGGACTGCCTCGACCTCGCAGAGCAGGGTACGAAGAGACTCATCAGTCAGGGACTGCTCCCTCAAAACAGCGTTCAGCACTTTTCTGACACTCCGGATCTGCCTCTCCCAAACACCACCCTGTGCCGATGCACCGGGAGGAGTAAACTGCCACTCGACTCCTCCTTTCAGCAAGAAGTTGTGCACCTGGCTCTCGCGCAGCTTGGCAAACTCCTCACGAAGCTCACGTTCGGCGCCGACGAAATTGGTGCCATTGTCTGACCGAATGAACGTCACCTGTCCCCTTCTAGCCTGAAATCTACGTAACGCGTTCAGAAACGAGCTAGTGTCCAGACTTTCACACACTTCGGTGTGAATGGCATGCGTCGCCAGGCAAGTGAAGAGTACACAAAACCGCTTGTGCCGCTGACGTCCAACCTTCACGTGGAACGGGCCAAAGTAGTCGATGCCCACTCGACTGAAGGCACCGCCTTGAGGAGTCGTCCTGTCTTCAGGTAAGTCAGACATTTGTTGAGTCACCATCGGGCCCTGAACTCGTCGGCATCTGACACATTTTGACAGGACTCTGCGAACGGCTGCATTGCCGTTAACCACCCAATACCTTTCGCGCAGTGCAGCGAGAACATGTTCACGTCCTGAGTGACCTTTCTTCTCATGCATGTCTCTGATGATGATGTCCGTGACATGATCATTCTTCGGCAGGATCATCTGGTGTTTGGCTGCGTCCGAGATAGCTGCGTTGCTGAGACGTCCGCCAACCCTGAGAACGCCATCAATCATGCAGGGGTTCAGACGATAAATCGAGCTGGATTTCTTGACAAAACGGGAGCTGAGTTCTTCTGGAAAGGCCTTCTTCTGAGTGTACTGCACAATCGCCGCTTCTGCATCATCAAGTTCTTGAACGGTCAAGCGAGAGCTGACCCGCGAGAGCTGACCTGCTACCTCGGCATCACAATCACCTCTGTTCATCAACCGCTTCCGCAGCATGCACTTCAGCCGAAGCCACCACGCCACGTGCCTCTTGAGCTTGTGCCAGTCAGATACGCTGTTCAACAACTTCGAAGTACTGTCACACTCAGCTGCTACCGAGAGAGTCCCCAAACCTCTCTTTACCTCAAGATCTTCAACATCTTCATGGCGCTGGATCACATGCTTCTGGTCAGGCCATTCAGCTGCTTCTGCGCCGAGGAACGCTGGGCCAGTAGCCCATACCGATTGAAGAAACTCGCGTGCCGACTGTCCACGGGAGAGAGCATCCGCCGGGTTCAGTGCAGACGGCACGTACTTCCATTGATCGGGCTCAGAACCATCATGGATGACGGAAAGCCTGTTGGACACAAATGTCTGGAAACGAGAAGTGGTATTGTGGATGTAGCGAAGCGTGGACACACTGTCCGTCCAAAAATGCACTTCGTCAACTTTCAGGTCAAGTTCGGTAAGTATCTGTGTGCTCAACTGCACAGCTAGCGTCGCAGCGGCCAACTCTAGTCGAGGGATTGAAGAAGTCTTCAGCGGCGCTACTCTGGCCTTGCTCATCAGAAGCGAAGTGCGAACTGTCCCTGTGTTGTCAGTCACCCTGGTGTAGCCTACTGCACCGTAGCCAGCCTCGCTTGCATCAGCAAACATGTGAAGTTGGCAATTCACCACCGCGTCTGGTGCAGTCACACTTCTTGGCACGCTGAACTCCCGCAGAAGGCTCAGTTCTTTGCACCACTGACCCCATCTTCTCAGGTGAGCATCTGGAACCGGGTCGTCCCATCCCAACTTCAGCCTGCAGAGATCTTGCAACAGGATTTTGGCTGACGTGACGAAAGGAGCTCCGAACCCTAGCGGATCATAAACGGCACTTACTGTGGAAAGAATGCCTCTCCTGGTTGCCGGACCCCTCCTGACATCAACACGGAAGCTAAGAGTATCTTCAGATACGTCCCACTGAACACCCAAAGCTCTTAGCGTCTGCGCAGAAAGATTGTGGCCGGTCAGATCAAACTTCTTGTGTGTCACGCGCTCAGATTCCGGGAAACAGAACATGACGTCAGGGCAGTTACTGACGAAGCTGGTCAGTCGGAATCCTCCCAACGCACAGCAGTCTCTGACTCCTCTTGCAATCCTCAACACCTCATCAGCCGTAGATCCTGTCTTCATGAAATCATCAACATAGAACGAGCGTTGAATACTGTCTATGACGTCAGCATCAAACTTATCTCCGAAGTCCTGCGCTGTCCTCCGTAGCGCGAAGTTTGCACAAGACGGAGAACTGATCGCACCGAACAGGTGCACATTCATCTGATACACTTCCAGTTCCCGTTCTGTGTCACCATTCGGCCACCATAAAAATCTGAGCAAACTTCTGTCATCCTCCGGAACCCTCACCTGATAGAACATTTTTTCAATATCAGCCATTACTGCTACCGGTCCCTCTCGGAACCTCAGCAACACGCCCAAGAGAGAACTCGTCAGATTTGGTCCTTGCAGCAGCCGACTGTTGAGCGACATGCCCTGGTAAGTTGCAGAGCAATCGTAGACGACACGAATCTTTTCAGGTTTCATCGGATGATATACACCATGATGCGGTATATACCAGGTACGTCCCTCTGCCATGTCGATCTGCTCGTTCTTGACACGTTCTGCGTAGTTTTTCTCGATTAACTCATTGACAAATGTTTTGTAGTCTTGGAGATACTTCTGGCTACGGTGCAGCGAGGCTGGCTACGGTGCAGTAGGCTACACCAGGGTGACTGACAACACAGGGACAGTTCGCACTTCGCTTCTGATGAGCAAGGCCAGAGTAGCGCCGCTGAAGACTTCTTCAATCCCTCGACTAGAGTTGGCCGCTGCGACGCTAGCTGTGCAGTTGAGCACACAGATACTTACCGAACTTGACCTGAAAGTTGACGAAGTGCATTTTTGGACGGACAGTGTGTCCACGCTTCGCTACATCCACAATACCACTTCTCGTTTCCAGACATTTGTGTCCAACAGGCTTTCCGTCATCCATGATGGTTCTGAGCCCGATCAATGGAAGTACGTGCCGTCTGCACTGAACCCGGCGGATGCTCTCTCCCGTGGACAGTCGGCACGCGAGTTTCTTCAATCGGTATGGGCTACTGGCCCAGCGTTCCTCGGCGCAGAAGCAGCTGAATGGCCTGACCAGAAGCATGTGATCCAGCGCCATGAAGATGTTGAAGATCTTGAGGTAAAGAGAGGTTTGGGGACTCTCTCGGTAGCAGCTGAGTGTGACAGTACTTCGAAGTTGTTGAACAGCGTATCTGACTGGCACAAGCTCAAGAGGCACGTGGCGTGGTGGCTTCGGCTGAAGTGCATGCTGCGGAAGCGGTTGATGAACAGAGGTGATTGTGATGCCGAGGTAGCAGGTCAGCTCTCGCGGGTCAGCTCTCGCTTGACCGTTCAAGAACTTGATGATGCAGAAGCGGCGATTGTGCAGTACACTCAGAAGAAGGCCTTTCCAGAAGAACTCAGCTCCCGTTCAGACGATAAATCGAGCTGGATTTCTTGACAAAACGGGAGCTGAGTTCTTCTGGAAAGGCCTTCTTCTGAGTGTACTGCACAATCGCCGCTTCTGCATCATCAAGTTCTTGAACGGTCAAGCGAGAGCTGACCCGCGAGAGCTGACCTGCTACCTCGGCATCACAATCACCTCTGTTCATCAACCGCTTCCGCAGCATGCACTTCAGCCGAAGCCACCACGCCACGTGCCTCTTGAGCTTGTGCCAGTCAGATACGCTGTTCAACAACTTCGAAGTACTGTCACACTCAGCTGCTACCGAGAGAGTCCCCAAACCTCTCTTTACCTCAAGATCTTCAACATCTTCATGGCGCTGGATCACATGCTTCTGGTCAGGCCATTCAGCTGCTTCTGCGCCGAGGAACGCTGGGCCAGTAGCCCATACCGATTGAAGAAACTCGCGTGCCGACTGTCCACGGGAGAGAGCATCCGCCGGGTTCAGTGCAGACGGCACGTACTTCCATTGATCGGGCTCAGAACCATCATGGATGACGGAAAGCCTGTTGGACACAAATGTCTGGAAACGAGAAGTGGTATTGTGGATGTAGCGAAGCGTGGACACACTGTCCGTCCAAAAATGCACTTCGTCAACTTTCAGGTCAAGTTCGGTAAGTATCTGTGTGCTCAACTGCACAGCTAGCGTCGCAGCGGCCAACTCTAGTCGAGGGATTGAAGAAGTCTTCAGCGGCGCTACTCTGGCCTTGCTCATCAGAAGCGAAGTGCGAACTGTCCCTGTGTTGTCAGTCACCCTGGTGTAGCCTACTGCACCGTAGCCAGCCTCGCTTGCATCAGCAAACATGTGAAGTTGGCAATTCACCACCGCGTCTGGTGCAGTCACACTTCTTGGCACGCTGAACTCCCGCAGAAGGCTCAGTTCTTTGCACCACTGACCCCATCTTCTCAGGTGAGCATCTGGAACCGGGTCGTCCCATCCCAACTTCAGCCTGCAGAGATCTTGCAACAGGATTTTGGCTGACGTGACGAAAGGAGCTCCGAACCCTAGCGGATCATAAACGGCACTTACTGTGGAAAGAATGCCTCTCCTGGTTGCCGGACCCCTCCTGACATCAACACGGAAGCTAAGAGTATCTTCAGATACGTCCCACTGAACACCCAAAGCTCTTAGCGTCTGCGCAGAAAGATTGTGGCCGGTCAGATCAAACTTCTTGTGTGTCACGCGCTCAGATTCCGGGAAACAGAACATGACG